TTTTTTTAAATCTCTTGGTGCCTTTTTTGTTATGCTTGACTGCATCTTGCTTAAATGGCTGCTAGGGCTTCTTGTGTTGGGTTTCATCTTAAATAGATTCTAAATTTAGGTTTCTGAAATATTGCTTTAGACTATGAGGCCTTTATTTCATGGTGGAATGGTGTTATTTGGTCATACTCTCCACCACATTTTCTTTTAATTATATTCCATGGGGGAAAATGATTTTGCCCAATTGAATTAATGATGGAACATAGGATTCAATTTAATGTTTTGAATTAGGTTTAGTACCTTAAACTTTGTTGTTTCACATAATACTTTATTTCTATGGAAGCTAGGTATCTATTGTCTTTGTTCTCTGAATATTTTGGTACTACTTTATTTGATGATCTCTACAACAAATAAGAAATGACTTCTCTTTTGTTATTGTCCTCAAAGTATTTCTTTTTCCTCCAACTATTGTACTACTAGGAGTTGTTTCTCTTGGAAGATGACATGAAAGCTCTGGAGGAAATGTATCCTCAAGGAGAGCAGGTTAGAACAAATCAAAAAACATGTTTTATATGTCTGGATCATATTATGTTATATTGCCTGATGTTTTGCTTCATTTCTGTGCAGGCAGAGACTGTCTGGGCTTTAACAGTTCTTGGCTACTTAGCAAAATTTGTACTTGGTGTTGTTGGGTATGTGCTGTTGGTTTTTAAAAGATTTGAAAAAAATAAATTTAACATCACTTTACGATGTGTCATAGCAAAGTGATTGCTTGCTAATATTTATGTTATAATTCCTGCTTCTCTTGATGTTTCTATGCTTTCACTGCCAATTGATAATCCTCATAAGCATTGATACTTGTTCAGCAAAATAAGGTTGTTGTTAAGTTGTTTTAGCATTCATGTCCAATTTCAGCTCATGTTGAATAGCTGAATGGTGTGTCGACCTTTTCATATACCAAGATTGTTTTGAAGGTGGAAATGCATCTTCCTGGCTAAGCAAATATTAGAAGGTTTAAAACAGTTTTACATGGGCAATAGTAACAGTTAATCTTTGTAAGTCTAAGAAAAGCTAATAACTTGCATGTAACCAAGTTAATAGTTGGTGGAAAGCAGATGCTATCTGATAACCTGTGTTCACATGCATAGCCTGTAATAATAGGGATGGGGTGTAAGATTCTCTCAGGGCTGTCTGCAACAAAGTAGATGATATGTTGTTCACTTAATGCACCATATTGATCCTAAGGGCACATGTGATGGATCTTTGGGATTGCCTTGTATGTAAATGAACTATAAAGATGGGGCCTGAGTAGTGGGTCTATGGCACTAATAGGAAAAAATAGGCTATAGGAGAATGACTGCCTTGCAGAAGGATCTACATGGCAACATAAAGGAATCAAATATCTGAAAGGACAGAAATGGTTCTCTTAATGCGCCATAATATCCTAATCCCATTAGATACTTAGCTAATGTGCTACAGATGGCTAGTTTTTGGGCAACTATTGTTGCATCATATCCTCCAACTGCTAACTATAAGATGAGGCATTAGCAAGACACCGATACATTGTGTCATTAATGCTTCCCAAGATGACATTGTTAAAACTCGTACAAAACATGTGGTAACATCCCCAACATTTGCTGATTGCCATATGCTTCTTCAATTCATGGTTTCTACTTTCTAGTCAGTTAAAGTTAGAAAATGACTTTGTATATAACTGGATTCTAATTACTCAGCCTTTTCTAGTTAGATTTGTACATAATTTGTCTGGTCAAATTGATTCCTGAACTGTAATAATTCAGTTCAAGTATTTAACAGTTTAAGCCTAATGTACTTTTAGGTTATTTTTTCTACCTGTCGTTATAGTCTTTCTATTGGTTAACATTTTTCCCATTGCAGACATCTTGGGAAGTAAACTATTTTATTTAGCATCAAATATGTACAAACAATTCATTGCAATTAGCATACCGGGAATATCATCCCATGAATTTGAAACTTTTACTTGAGATTTACACATGTTCTCCTATATCTATGCATAAATCCAATAGGCAAATTCCAGTGTTCTAATAGCTTCCATTCATATTATTGTCCTCTACATTCACAAATCTTCTTGCATCACTATGAGTTTATCACATCTTTGAATAAGTAATTTAATTTCATCATGATGTGTGTCCATGTATTTCATCATAGAATGATTAGTTGCAACCTACCCTCTCAATTTTTTTCAGGTTGATTGTTTCGGTGGCTTGGGTTGCACACATTGTGATATACTTGCTAATTAACCCTCCACTTTCTCCTTTCTTAAATGAAGTGTTCATCAAGTTGGATAGCGTATGGGGTATGTTACATTGCCAATCAGATACTGTATTCCCTTTTTAGTAAGGAATTATATATCTAACTTTTTATTGGGTTTTCTGCTACAGGTTTGCTTGGTACAGCAGCATTTGCAATTTTCTGCTTTTACCTTCTTCTTGCAGTGATAGCTGGTGAAATGATGCTTGGTCTGAAATTAGTTTTTTTCACCATCCATCCAATGAAGTATAATACATCACAAATCTTTACTTCTTCATTGAAATTCCATATTCCTCTTTTCACTCATGTAGATGTTGACATTAATTTTACTTGATTCAGGTGGGGAGGAACATTGATGAACTCATTCCTCTTTAATGTGGGATTGATTCTACTTTGCTCCATCAGGTCTGTTACCTAAGCATGCATACAAAACCATGATAATGGATTGAGTTCTATTCTTTTTTATTTTGAAGCTGATGATAAGCAACAGCTTTTCTGCCTATCCAATCTCATTTCATTGGTTTTCTACCATTAAATATTCAATCTGTAATTGGTGTTATCCATGTGATGTCCCACCCAAATTGAAGAGGACCCTATTAATAATTGTAAATAGCATCTGCAGCTGCCCCATTTGTGTATTCTAATTGCTCTTTAGAATATATAAGAATCAATAGTTTGAATGAAAGTAATGTTTGAGTAGCTTGAACAGTGAATAGGACTTTGGAAAACCTTGACAGTTTTTGAGAAATGTTATGCCTTAACAATGATTGGCTATCTTCCAACAGCTTTCACTTACCCTTGCTCCTTTTCCTATCCTTGCATTACAGTAGGGCACATCCTTGTAAGGTAGCAATTCCCGCTGTATTTGTTTAAATGTGTTCCTCCACAGTCAGGAAGTAAATTCATAATTATGGCAACCACACATGTCATAAATAGTATGTTACTTTTGATATGTTTTTTTAATATTTCCTATACAATTTCCTTTGTTTCATTTAATATCAAAAGCATGAGCCTTCAGGTCGATAACTACACCATACCAGTTTTGAATTTCTATGTGGAACAGGTGGTTCTAATATTCTTTGATTCTCTGTGCAGTGTGATTCAGTTCTGCGCTTCCGCTTTTGCTTACTATTCACAAGCAACTGCTGCACAGGAGATATTTGGCCATACTTTGCAGTCTCTTCGCGGAATCAAGTACCTGTACAAGTGGGTAACCGCTACATCTATATGCTTAACTTAGACTTGATTATATCAAGCCAGAACATTATATGACCCAATTTTATTTTGCTAATGGATATGGTTCAAACTTCCAATTTGCAGGTATAATGTATTTCAGTATGGTTTTGTCGGCTTTGCAGTACTCACACTCTTCTATTATGCTGCATTTGTAAGTCATTGTCTTTCTTATACCGTTATATTGGATTATCCATTCTTAACTAAGTTTGCAACTTTAATACTTAAAGGGATGGAGGAAAAGAAAACCAACCGGCAGATTCCAGTTCTCTAATTGACGTGAAACATCGGGGTGCTATTTCCTGGCTTAAGCTTCTTTGCTCCATATAAAATATCCTAGGTGCAGGAATCGTCCATACAACTACTTGAAGAGCCAGCTGATCACAGTTCATGTGGAATAGCAAGGTTGGGTTTCTGAGGACCGAATGAGCATTTCGATGACTAGTCCAGGTTCCTTGTGATCGATTGTAGTGTGTTTGTCTTGGTGCTTTATTCTTGTCGTTTGTTCGATCTGACTTTTCTTTCGCTGTATTTTTTTATGTATGCCCGCGTAATTGTTGGAGAAATATGTATTTTTTGGATCTTGCTAGGGTGGTGGGAGTGTGATCACTGTTGGACTGTAGTGCGAGGTAGCATTTAACTACATTGTTGTTCGTTTTTGATGAATTTGTATGTAAAGATTTCTCCGCTTGTTTAGATTCTTTGGACTCCTACGTTCCTCTGTTGGTTGATTGAATCCGATATGAATCGTCCAGACTTGCATTTGTTCTTTGTAGAATAATTGATTGTGCTCAAAGCTTGTAGATATTTTTCCTTTCTAAGATTGTAGATATATTAAGTTCAAAGATTTTGTTGGGACATATGTATATACACATCATAACTTAGATTTACAAGGATAAATACCAAAGTAGTTAATCATTGGTTAATATATGTACATGTTATTTTATCAAAAATAAGTAATGGTAAAGTCTCTATGTGCTAAATTCTACTCTAAAAGTAACCATAACATCCAAAGCTCCTCTTCCGTCCCCCACACTTCAAATTACCACATCCATTTCCTCAGATATGTCAGCCTAACGCCAACCTCTCTCTCTCTCTCTCGACCAAAATATGTATACTTAAAATATGCACCAAAAATACTCGCATATGCGTGTATATATTTATACATACACTTAATAAATAAAGTAAAGTAAATAAAAAATATAATTGTTGTGTGGCTGCTGGGATTCGAGCCCAGGTCTCTACGGCCACAACGTAGAATTCTAACCACTAAACTACAGCCACGATGTTGTTTTCCATTTGTAATTATTTATAATAAGAATTAATCCTGATTGAAAAGTCGTACCACGGTTCCAAACATTCCATGCTTGGATAAGATTGAAAAGGTCTCCTGCATCTGCTTCAATTTCATCCCCTCAAGTAGAAGCACATGTGGACGAGTTTTCTCCAATCTTATTGCAGCGAAGACATCCAGTATTGGGGAGTCAACATGAAGCTGAAAACTACTTCGCAGTAATTCGTAGATGGCTTCAGAGCAATGCTGATATAATGTTGCACATGGCACTACATATCTAAAATTTTACAAGCAGCACTGCCCCCCTTGAACTGCTAAACAGAGATGCAGAGAAAACACAATGAGACTCCTGAAATGGAATTCAGATATTATGCCTCTTCTAGTACTCGTTGAAATGTATGGCTCCAGATTTCCAGACGATGAAGGTCGTCGTAAGCATGACCGTGCTGATGAACAGAAACGAGAAGGCGATGATGAACAGATCACCCTGAAACGGGAATTCAAAGGTCCAGCCCTTCGGAGGCAGCCCTCGCTTGCTGTCATCGAACAAATTCGTGGGAGCTTCTGGGAGGCCTGACCGCTTCTTGCCTCGGTCGATTTCTCTCGATGCCTCCAGCACTCTGCTCCCGAATTCCGCTTTGGCAGGCTTCGATTCCATGTACTTGCTGAGAACACGAGCTGCCCTTAACTTTTCTCTCACTGTCAAGGATGATCTCCTTGGCACAGGGTCCTCTTTGTTCATGGAGGATGGCACTCTACCATTTGCATCGAGGTGAACGTCGGATGATGCAAGCCGATCAGTGGTTACTGCAGCTTCAGCATTTATAGACTCCGTAGTGCTTGGCTCAGCAGAAGCTTTATTGCTGTCTGTTGCCAAGACAACGTTGCTCCATCTGGTATTGTTTGTGCATGGTTTTGGCCCAAACGATGACACCAAGGGAGTTTCGACAAATTTTATAGTGTGATTATGAGGCCTTCCTTGTTGTGATTGTGGATTATTCTTGAACTTTGCCTGTTATAATAACAGTAAAATTAGAGACTCAGTGTGTAATTTGCTTCGAGCAGTATGATGAAGAATGAAAGGAACCAAGAATCAATGCAATGGTGGTGTTGCTTCCCTTAACCCTTAGTATGACAAAGATTTTGCAGGATGTAGATGTTAACAATGACATTTTTCGACACAAGTTCTTGATATTCCCAAGCAAATTACTAGTGAAATATAATTGATGCTGATGATAGAGAGAGCTACTATATAAATGTCTGATGATTAAGGAAATGAACACAATTACATCGGTATCAAATAAGAGTTTATCCTTGCTACACTCAATTGAACTAAACCTATCAAGAAAATCCTGGAATCGGTAGCGTCGAATCACCAAGCTTCCCTATAATTATTATATATTCACATTGGCACAACATTACTGAAGAAATCTGAATCAACTAAAGTCAATAAATCTCATTGCAGATTAAGGTGAAAAATAATCAAAACTTATGTAAATGTTATTGTTTCAAATCCAGACCATATCATATATATTTGTTTCATTCCAGAATAGGTAATAGGATGGGAATGATTAACATCATCAATCAAATAACCATCATTCTGCAAGCACAAGCCACTCTTTTAACAGTTCAACTGATGAACTGAACTTTGACTAAATTAAAGATAAAGTAACACAGATGTACATCATCGATTAAGCATCCTGGGGGCACAATCTGTTATGTAAAGCTAAATTCGCATATCCGAACGCTTCAATGTGTAACAGTTCAACTGTTGATTCGATCTTTGATATATCAAAGATAAAGTAACACAAATCTCCATCACCAAATAAGCATCCTGGGAGCATAATCAACTATGTAAAGCTGAATTCTCATATCCAAACTCTTCAAAGTGTTTTATCTCCAAAATTCTTTCTGTATCCAATTCCTATGATAGGTAATACAAAACCCCTCTTCACTCCTAATCCCTGCAAGTCTCATTTGACTCTTATGTAGAAGAACATAAGTCGAAACTCTTCATTCTTCCCTTCAAACAAAATCCTCAACATCTACATGGATATTAACGAGCCATTTCACTTTGTTCTTAAGACCGAAAACAAGATAGCAGCGATCTACATAGATCAAAAGATCGTCTAATTAGGACACTGACGAAAGGAAAGACTAACCAAGATTTGGTTTTTCCTCATGATTAACTCCCTCTACATAATTACCTCCTACACTCTTTTACATGAATCCACCTCAAACTCTATTACAATTCAGCTACAAACCCTTAATATGCCATTTCTAAGATGACCGTACCCAGAATTCCTCACCCCCAAACTTATTTTCTCAAACCTTTTAGAAGCGAAAATCAAGAGAAGATATTGAACACAGTCAGTAATCAACCATATAAGAGAATCCTGAACAATCTGAACACACAAGTACCAGCAGAAGGTGATGATTGGGTAGCATATAACGAGGAGTAAGCACAAAGGAAGAGCAGATGAAAAAGACATGGAAAGACTTACTGCAGTCGCGCTGAGGTTCCACGGAGAGATTACTCTGGCGGCCATCTCTCGGTCATCTGCCGCGACAGAAAGAGGTGATTTCTTGGGAGGACGGAGAAGATAAGGGCGCGCGAGGAGATCAGCTATCTGAGGCCATAAAACGGCACCGCCACGGGGCAAAAATAATAACACGCAATGATGGAATTACGTAAATACCCTCTTTATATATATATATATATATATATATATATATATATATAGTATCAATGATAGATAAAAATTTAGATATGATAAATTTATTATTATTATTATTAGTTTGGATTCCTACAACTCACTTTGGAATCATGACAAATGATAAGTCAATCTTGTATTATTGATAATACAATTCTAAAATCGAATTCTGTATTCACTCACCTTTTATACTTTAAAATAAATAAAATACTTTATGTATTTTATTATTAGGATATTTCAAAAGCAAAAGCACAATTCCTTGGACGACAGCAAAGATAACAAGTAGATCTTGTCGAGTGGAGTGCTCTTTGAGCTTACTTGGAGCTACGATGCTCGATGGTCAGTAAGCTAATACTGAATGATGCCTCTCAACACCAATACAACAAAGAATATTGGAGCATTATACATTTATGTACTTTTATTATTAGGATATCATGTGATGCCTCAACATGTAATCAACAAGAAAAATGACATCTAACTTTTCCTGGTCATTACAATTTTATCATTATATTTAACTATAAAGTATTTTTTTATTATATAAAGAAAACAGTAAGATTATAGACTTATAGAGGGGAAAAAGTAATTATAGAGGTATAATTACGTATTAGCAACAAACCTAATAATGAAATAGTAGAAATGGGCAGTGGGTCATAAGATTATGATTTGCATAACCCACTCCCTCATGATCTTACATGACTCTAATAAGCTAACCTTGCAACCATAACATGTTCCATCAGATTGAATGACAATATATCATAATACCACAGATAAGAAAAGCCATGCCATTAATCAGTACATCACAATCCATTAAGAGTGGTTACAAGTAAAACTATTTAATCATATAAGCTTCCTATGCCATAATTATCAAGAGAGGTCATATTTCCTTCATCTTCTGTAAATAACAATTCAGATTTGCTACCACAAATGTAATTATAAGTTGCACATAAATGACTAAGCATCTAATCAGCTACTGAGGTAAACATTAGCCATGACATCCTACAATGGGATTCTTTTTTGATAATGTTACCACAAAAGATACTGTGGAGAAAACACTTAATACAAGCGCTTACAATTTCCTTTCAAAATAAGCTCAATTCCAAGATTTATGATGTTCACAATAACACTAAGAAAACATGGTAAACTCATTGACCAAACAAACATGACAAAAAAGCAACTAATGTTCTGATAAAAGCAATATAATCAACTCAGTATTTCAATGGCGCAAGGATGTCAAGCTGCGAACCAAGCTTCTCCTCGACGGCCTTTTCTGCTTTCAACTTCAGCTTTGTAAGCTGCTTTCTCCTCTCATAAGCCACCTTGGCTCTTTCTTTCCTCTTCTCCTCCAGCACCTGTACAGATGTATTTTGCATGTATGGTCAGTTAAGCTCTAAATTTGGGGCAATAATTACAAAAATTATAATGGCCCGGCGTAGGACACAATGCTGCCTCATGAAAGTCATTCCAAGCAACAATTTAAACAATAAGACGCTAGACAAATTGAAAGCACCCTAAAAGCATGTTATGTTTTCAAATGACAAGTTCTGAAGTGACACGGTTTATCAGCATTCACATGCAATGACATGTATAGAAAGAATTTGAGCTCTTGTAAGCATACTACAGGAAGCAAGAAACGGAGCAAATATTAAACCCTGAAACAAGACACAAACTGCAAAGGCATATGTATACAGGGATGGGGAACAAGACATGGGAATGTAATTTATATTTGGTAGCCAAAACAAATGAACAAATGTGAAGCTCAAACTACAGAAAAAATTGCAATCAGCAACAGTAAAGAACTAGAAAAATTGTTCTACTCTTTTTTTTTTTCTCTTTCAAACAAAGAAATCCTTAAATTATGGAAAAATGTTCATCCAAAGCAGGGTCTAAGATCTACTGGAGAATATAAAGGCTCCAACAATATTGGCCAACCAGTTAGCAATATCGGCTCCAACAATGTTCAACTCTACTAATCATCGACATTGCTCTAGAAAAGGAAATAATTCACTATGTGAATTATTCACTACCAAAGAAATATTATAAATGATTCAGAGAAACAAACAAACACTATGCCATATTTAACGTTAAAATTTAAATAAAGAACATAGAGCCAATTCAATCTGACCTTAACAGTGTCGTAGTAATTCCATCCAACCTCTGATGAGAGACGACCTAGCAAGCAGTACCTATGCCCAGGCTGAAGCCTCAACACCCTGAAAACACATGACCCAGCACATCAAAATAATCAGGTAACACACAAAACATTTCTGCATGACATCACTTGAACTAGAACTCCATACTTGAGGGCATCAGGAATAACCATCCTCTTCATCTTATCATATGGTGGAGGCACCCCCTCATACGCCTTAAGCCTTGCCAGCGCCGCGGCCCCACGCTTAGTCTTGTGAGGAATCATCCTTGAGAGAAAGAAAAACAAGAATGTAGATAGATTTCTTAACCACCAAACTCATCAAACAAAATACTTTGGAATGATTCGATTTTTAACTCAAAAAAGATTGTATTTTCATCATAATACTATCATTAGATCTCAATTACAGTCATCGAACGAGAAATTCTAAGAAAGATTGGATCGCTAAGATGACTGATTACCCACGGATGGTGCGCCAGAGGATCTTGGCGGGGGCGCGGAAGTGGATGGGGCCGTGGGACGGCTTGGTGTTCATGCGCTTGCGGAGGAAGCGGAGGTACTTCATCTTCTGGCGGACAAGACCTCCGGAGAGGCAGATCTCCTCGCAGCGGACGACCACCACGCGCTGCCCGTTGAGAAGCTCCTTAGCCAAGATGGAAGCCAGCCGCCCAAGCATGTGGTGGCGCGCGTCCACCACCACCCGCTTCGCGCACAGACCCGACCCTGACACCATCGCAGCGACCTCCGCCTTCTTCGACGCCTCGCGGTGGCTACCGAATCCACCTCGCTCGCTCGCTCGCTCGCTTCGGCTCTTATATGGATTGGCGGCTAGGGTTTCTCACTTCTCTTCTATGTGCAACATGGATCGGGCCGGGCCGGGCCGGGCCCGGCCGGGTTGGCACATTGTGGACCTCCGAACCATTATGTTCCATTGAAGTCATAAAGCTATTAATTTCACGGAATTATTCCCTCTCAATCATTAATTCAAAAAGAGCACATAATATATACTTTATAATCATAAAAAAGTGAGATACTATTTGAAATATGTCTAATTAATGAATGACAATTAGAAATTAAAGATTAATTTGAATAAATTTATGCTATTTTCTATGTGAGAAATTAGAATTATTAATTGGTTAGGACTTCATTCTCTCTGTTTCATATGGTTTTATCTTAATTTAAATTATGCTTTTCTTCATGATTTTATTGGATTAAATTATCATTTTATTATTTTTCTTCTTTTTTTCCCTCATCAATTTCAGTTGAGATTAGTCAACAAAATAAATGACAAAGCAAATAAATAATAAATCAAATTATTTGAAATGTTGACTTTTACTTATGTTTGACAAAGCCCAGTCTTAGTTCTGACTCAGTCCAGCGCAGCCCAAATGCAACTTGGGCTACGACTTTGAACACGGGTGCAGTGGGGCCGGTAAAAGCCCCTCTTTGTGAACACGAGTGCACTCTATCAGTCTCGTCTTCCCTCTGATCTCTGCTCGCGGAGGCTCGACTCGTGATCGCGGTGAGTGCGGCTCGTTTTCGCTTCTCCTTTTTGTCGATCGAATTAGGGTTTCATTTTCGTCTGTTTCTGCTCGTTTTATTGCTGGAGCTGCGGAATTCTTACGAGTTCATGCATCCAGAGAGCGGAAACCGAGGGCCGGTTGGTAAGATCTGCCCCCATGGATGAGCAAATCTCTGATGCAGCTGTAAGAGTTCGTTCTCTTCTCTTTTGTTTGTTGTCTGGATTGCATCTGCTGACAATGTCATGAGGATTTTCTCATAGGATCATCTTATTAGGGTAAATTATGATAGTAGCGCTGGTCCAATTAGGGATGCGATTCAAAGTTTTAGTGTTTTTTGGATTGCTAGTTCGGCTTCTATCGTCTATCGCTGCAAGAAATGATTTGTTTTATGATTGTATCTGCTGTTTCTTGAGTTTAGTATACACC